TGGTGCCAGGCAGGCCACCGCTCTGCCTCCGGTGTAAGAAGGTGGCCATATTTGGAGGCAGTGCCGTGCCCCGAAGTGTGCTCGATGCAACCGTTTCGGCCATGAGAGCAGCGACTGCTTTTCAACGTACGCCACTGCGCTGAAAGGCTCCGGGGAGGACACCCGGAAATCACGATAATTCAGTGGACATCTCGGAGGTTGTAGACGTGACTGGCAACATCCCTTTAATGGAGCGCTCCAGCGGTGCTTCCCCGAGTCCTGAGTGCTCAAAGCCAACCGGCGAAGAGTCGCCTGGGGAACCGGCCAGCACCACCGCGTTGTCTGTGAAGCCTGACACCAACCCGAGCGACGGCGGTGAAAACTCGGTGTCGGGTAAAGTACAGGTGTCGATGGCAGCAGCTCCCAAGGACCGCCAAGCGAGCCTCAGAGTACAGGACCAGCGCGACGACGTCCAAGAACCCTCTGACATGGACACCAACATGGCGAAGGAAGGCAAGCGAAAGCGCGGGGAACCGCCCAGCACTTATGAGAGTAAGCGGCTGAACGCAAAGCCGCGCGCTGCGCAAAAGTGCCCCTTGCCTTAAAGAATGATCGTGGCTTACGCTTCGCTACTCTAAACGTTAGAGGGCTTAATTCCAGGAAGCGATAGTACCAATTACGGCGTTTACTCGAGCATACAGAAATTGATATCTTGGCACTGCAGGAAACAAAACTGTCTACCGAGGAGCAGGTTGAGCGCGCTTTGCAGTCCTTTCTGTACATTTATGACGTTTGTGTAACCCATGTAGTAGGCCTTTGAGGGGTGTGTTTTCTTTTCATCAAAAAATCCGTAAATATGTCACAGGTAGCGATCACAAGTGACCTTTGCGGTCGTTTTGTTCTTTGTGACTTCGTAGTGTCAGAATCGAGGTGGAGGGTGATTTGTGTCTATGCTCCGAATTGTGTAAATGAACGAGTAGCATTTTTTAATCATCTTCGGTCGTATGCTGTGTGCGATAGGCGGGTGGTTATCCTCGGAGATTTCAACTCGGTTTGCGACACGGCTGACTGAGCGCCGTCTAGAAGTCGCCTTGACAAAAGCGAGCAGGTATTACTGGATGTGATAGAAGGCGACTTAATTGATGTAGCTTCTTTTCAACCGAAGGGTAGGAACTTACTTTTCACGCATTTTCAACAAGCTTCACACGCGCGGCCAGATAGAATTTACTGCTCCTTAGATCTCATTAACCAACTAAGTGCTTATGTTGTCAACCCAGTGTTTTTCTCCGACCACTGGATGGTCGCTACAATGATTGGGCAAAAGCCGCGAAGAGAAAAGCCAATTAATTGGAAATTATGGAAGCTTAATGCTCAGCTTCTCAAAGACGAAGTTTTTGTGGCGGATACAGGAATGTTGATCCAAGAATTATCCACCCAAAAAGGCCGTTTTCACACGACGTGGGAGCGTTTTAAAGAAGACGTTAAGCAGCTGGCGATCGAAAGATCTAGCATTCTTAGCTTTTATAAGTTGAAAATGGAAAGAAAGCTTCAGAGTGACTTGCGCATTTTATACGAGTACAAAAGTAAATTCCCAGGACAGGGATCTGAAGATATAGCTTGCGTTAATGCCCAGCTTGATAGCCTTTATCAAGAGCATTATCAAGGGGCGGTCGTACGTGCTCGAGCTGAAAAATTTCTTCTAGGAGAGCAACCAACAAGAAAAGCGCTGGAAGACGAAAAATGCCATACTTTAAAAAAGGAAATTTTAGAAATAGAGCATAACCGCAGAATATACACAGATAAACAAGAGATATATAACATTTTCCTTGAGCATTATCGCTCACTTTTTTGCCTAAAAACGGCTCCGCAAGACATGGAAGGACTCGCGAAACTGATCGCATTGCTACCCAGGCTAACAGAAAAGCAGATTGAGACGCTCGAGGAAACCATCACTTTAGCAGAAATCGAGGCCGCGGTTGATGCCCTACCTCAAGGAAAAACGCCGGGACCGGATGGTATTATATCAGAGTTTTATAAATTACACAAATATGCAATTTGTACAATACTACAAAAAGTGATCCAAGACTCATATGATACCAACGGGTTGCCCCCTTCCTTTCTGCGAGCTCACACCGTTCTCATTCCCAAAAGCAAAGATCCCAGCACACTTCGCCGCGTAGAAGGCTACCGCCCTATAACTTAGTGCAACGTTGATTATAAAATCTTCGCAAAGGTTTTAGCAAACCGGCTGCAGACAGTTATTCAGGAGCTGGTTGGAGACCATCAAACATGTGGGATTAGAGGAAGGGCCATACAAACCAATGTGCATGTAGCCCGCTCTGTATTAGAAAACGTATCTAGAAAAGGAGACCAAGTGGCAATGCTTCAAGTTGACCTTGAAAAAGCTTTTGACCGCGTTCAACATCAGGTGCTTTTTAAGGTTGTGTCACATGTTGGTGTTGAAAAAATAATCTCACAGGGGGTTAAGATGTCCTATACGGACTGTCACACAAGCTTAATAGTAAACAATACTGTGTTGGAAAGCATCCCAGTGAATTCTTCGGTACAGCAGAGGTGTCCCTTGTCCCCCTTACTCTTTGCCCTCTACCTGGAGCCGCTTTGTCAAAGTATTATTCAAAGTAATAAGATCAACGGTTACAGCTTGCGGAGCGCGGAAACCAAAGTTTTGGCCTACGCGGACGACATCGCTTACTTGTGCAAGGACAAAGAAAGTATCCGCCATGCTGTTGCGCTTACGCGCGATTTTTTGCGCGGCCACTGGAGCAGAGGTGAACTGGCAAAAGTGCCGGGGTTTCAGGCACGGCTCGTGGGCCGCAACGCCAGCCAAGTACGAAGACATTGAATGGAGTTGCACACCGTGTAACTACCTTGGAGTGCTCCTGCAGCATTACAGGAACAGCACGACCTACTGGTCCGAAGTGGCGACTGACCTCGACAAACGCACAAAGAGCTGGGCACACCGGGATGTGTCGATCTTTACACGGTCGACCATGTGTAATATATTCCCCGTGGCCAAACTCTGGTACGTTCTGCAGGTTCTCCATTGTGCAAGGTGCAACATTCAGAAGTTTCATCGCATATTTGCCGTTTTTATCTGGAAATCCACCTGGGAGCTCATGCGGCGGGAAAACCTCTTCCGTCGCATATCGGACGGCGGTGTTGGTCTTCCGCACTTATTCGTTCGACAGTTGGTATCCAGGTTTCTTTTTCTGAGGGATCAAGAAACTCCTTTGATCCGTGAAACGATTCAGGATGCACTGGCATGCTTTCTTCCAACATTTGTTCTATCATCAGTCGGAGACGCGGACCGACCCACGAGACTAGTGGGCTATCTGAAAGAAGTTGTAAACACTTTTAACTTTTTAGTAGTTAGGTTCTCCAGGGAATACCTTGCAAGTGTTACGAGGAAAAAGCTTTCCCGAGACCTTGTGGACGTTCTTTTTCCAACTCCAATTTATCGAACTGTGTTCAGTTACAGTCCCGGCCAAGATGTATTGTGCCGGGTTAAAAAGATGGGCGTCCCGCCAGCGGTCAGAACGTTTTTCTTTAAGCTGCACTTTTCTGTACTTCCTACCAAAGTCTGGTTAAAAGAAAAAGGTATTTTTGTTCCATAAACAGAGAACTGCTTGTTGTGCAAAGCGCCAGAAACTGTGGAGCATATTTTTATTGATTGTTGGGACGCCTTTCTTTTTTGGGATGTCCTGCAGCGCACGATTAGAAAAGACCTAGACATTTCCGCGCATTCAATTCGTTTTCTGCCTGTCGCGCCGGGTGACACTGTCCCCTATGATCTAATCATGCTCTTAGGTTTATATGGCATCTGGAAATCTCGAATGGATGTAAGAAACGCTATTCACTCACCAAGGACTGTACGTCTGCATTTTATTCAGTTAGTAGCGCAAGTCAAGAGTGTCTACGACATTTCAGACCATGTGCCCGACTGGATGCCTTTATTAGGAAGATTGATAGAACTCGAGGAATTTTAGGATGCTGATGCGGGCAACGCCCTTTGTGCCCTAAATTGTGTGCTGTAATCGCGTTGTTACTTTCCATGCAATAAAGAAAAAAAATGTGTCGTGACATGCTGGAAAGACACTCGCTTGATAATCTGAATGGTGTAGGTTCGACTTTCGCCTTGCGCCAACGCTCTTTTACTGTTTCTACTTTGCTTTTTGCATTTATTAAAGACTCGCCAACAATCTGGGCCTCCGGGATCACAGATGGCTGCCTAGAACTACCGTTCCGATGCGGCCGAAGTGCGTGGGGAGATACCCCCCATACCCTGAAAACACTCCATACAAACTCTACGCGCTTAAGCACGTTGTTTCTTAGTGGTTCGCCTCGCATACCAGGACTGCATGGCAGATGAGCTTGCTTTCATATTTGTTCTTTGCTAGAGTAACTGGACCACTCTTGTCATGTGCAGGTCTGTTACTTGCTTACAGTAGAATGGTCGGCAGTCTCGATGCAAATGTCCACAACGAAACACCTTCCGCTAGTTTGTTAGGGGAGGTGAAGGGAAAGAGAAGCTCGAGGACAGGACGGTTCCGGTTCAAAGTAACGACACTTCAGTCATGAATGGATGGAAGGGTGGGTGGTAACGGCTGTACCCTTTATAACGGGCGGCAGCTATCGCCACCTAGCCTAGAAACCACCTGTTGCTTAAAGCCAATATTGTCAGTTAAGCTTTAATCTTAAGTCATAGGAAACGCTTTTACTTTTTTTCAAAGCTGTTACAAACAGTCCACGACAGAGCTAAACGATATGGCCCGAGCTATCCAAGACCGTTATTAAAAGCACCAAAATGGCGGCGCCCACAAGAGGATCGGGGCATGGAGTACAGGTGTTCTAAGCGCAGCTCTAGTGACTCTAGGCAACTGTATGGTCAAAATAATAAACCTGTGTCGCAGCCTGTGTCATTTTCTGTGCGCTAGCAGGTTACACACATACCTTAGAGTGCATCGACGACACTTGAGTATTCCCCTTGGTTTGTTCCACAGACGGAAACGAGGGTGCAGCGTCAGCTTGTCCTCGAGGATGGCAAGGTGGTGGCGGACACTGGGCCACAGATCACCACCCGCACTACCGTGGACAACAAGATGGAGGAAAGCGAAGACACCCAGGTACGCCGGTTGGGTCATCATCTCACATTAGGCTCCGCTCGTTTAATTCCTTCTTGCCCGAATGTTTTGTTTTCGGGTAACTTCAATGACAATGACGAATAACTTTCAGAAAATTACTAAGGGAGCGGGGCTGATTCTCTCTCTCAGTATGGATTGCTTTCATGTGTCAATTTTCGTGGCTCGTCGTCGGCAGGATGAGCCTTTGGGAGACCAAATTAAACATGACGGCTACCAGACTTCCCTTGAAGCTTCTACGAGGTCCTTTGATAGCAGCGCCGTCGGAAGTCTTTGGAGGATCGGGGAGGATTTCCCTCCCCTTTTTCCCGAATTCGAAGTTATACTTCGTTGCATACGTCAAAAAAAAAATTGAAAGACGTTCACAAATCCCTGTAATGCAAAATTAGAGCGCAGCTCTTGAGATATTTTGATTTAGCGATATATTGTGGTTACGCACCCTCCTCCTCCTCTCCGCTCCTCCCCCTCCTGCGTACCCTCCCATCCTCCTCCTCCTCCACACCCTCCCCTCCTCCCACAGTTTCCCCGCTAAATTTAGCTGAAGAATTCACACCACGTGACCTCAACACCAATTCAGTTTCGCCACTAAATTTAGAGGGCAAAATGACGTCACATGACTTGGTGTCGCGTCACCTATGGACAAATTCAGTTTCTCCACCATATTTAGCAGGAAAATTGACGTCACATGACCTCAACACTAATTCAATTCCCCGCTAGATTTAGCGAGGAAATGCAGTTTTGCTGCATTTCCTGCAGCAAAACTGCATTTTTAGCAGGAACTGAATTTGTCCGCTAGATTTAGCGGACAAATTCAGTTCCTGCGCCAGATTTAGCAAGAAAATTGACGTCACGTGACCTCAACACCAATTCAATTCCCCGAAATAAGCGGGGAATTTTCCCGTTAACTCTAGCGGGGAAAATGAGTTTGTCCACTAGATGTTGCGGAGATACCGAATTTCCCCGCTAAATTTATCGAGGAATTGAATTGGTGTAGAGGTCACGTGACGTCAATTTCCTGCTAAATGTAGCGCGGTTACACCGACGCCGACGCCGCGAAACACGGAAACGGGCGCCTAAGAGCTGCGCTCTAAAAAGCAGCGCAAGCTCTTCTCGCAAAGCCCTCCCTTCTTTCCACTTTATCAGGGCGAACGCCTTCGCCCTGCTAAAGTGGGGAGGGAGGTAGGCTTTGCGCGAGGAGCTTGTCCTGCTTTTCTCAACCTGCAAAACAGACAAAAACAAGTAATCGTGAAATATCAAAAATTCTGCGGGGGTGATATCCTTTCCTCGTCTTTTGACGCCCCTGATGGTTATTGAAAAGCTGGGCTCACGAAGTCTTCCCAACGTCGTCGACTCTTCTCTTTCTTATTTTTTTTAAGATTACGGCGATATGAAAGTTGGCAAATGAGCCACAGAGAAAGTGTCGTGAAAACATCCACCTGCGATTTTTGCCTAGCCGCAAAGCCGCGTGCGTTTTAATTCGTGTTCACGAGCTGAGCTGTCAAGGGGCCCGCAGACCTGCGTGCCCTAACGTCGGACCGATGAGCGCTTGTCCAGAGTCGTGGTGTCCATCCGTGTGCAGCACAAGAAGAGCGGCGACGACTCGGTCCCGGACGGCTACGTCCCGGTGCCGGGCTCCGAGCGGGTCGTGTGTGAGAAGACTGAGTCCCACCAGGTCATGAAGGAGACCAAGGAGGAGAACATGAAGATGCACGACGAGAACTACAAGGAGCTCAGAGGACCCGTGAGTCTCGAAAGAGATCTTTTTTACAGTCATCCTCGCCATTCTAAGTTCTCCGAGAGTGTGCACGCCCGCTAACCATTTACTGTGGGACGGAGTCAGCGCGAGCAAGACATCAGTGCGTTGAGACATTTTACCTAGAGAGGGTATTCACGAGTACCATATTTTTCTGCTTAAATGCCGGCGACCAAACTTGAGACTCTGCAAGGCAGAAGATCTTCCTCGCCATGGGAAGGAGGAAACAGGTGACGGCGGACAGTGTAGAAGGGGGGAAAGAAGGAAGCGAGGGAAAAGCGGAAAGCACGAAGTGGTTGTCGGTCTTTAAACTGGTGTGCCCGGCATGAGCGCTCTGAACTCCGCGTTAACTAATTTGTGCTACGTTATCAAAGCTAGCCTAGCTTCGGCAGTGTTCCAACGCGTCTCCTTCGCACGACAGCGAGTGCAAATGAGACGCAAGACCAAGCTACATGCTCCCGCAGCAGTGCGCGGCTGCAGCAGTGTAGAAGCTGCGCTAACCTTGACATCGTATACAACGTTGACGCCGAGTATGAGTGCAACTGTTAGAATCAAGCCAGAAAAACTGACATTAAGAAATGAATTTGAAAACATGTATTCTCTATTGAAGTTTGTCCACAGGTTACCAGTACTTTATCATGTATAATAACCGTGTAAGAAACACGACAAAAATAGGAAAGCACACGACTAACAAGCGCTATATATTCGATTACTGTCCTTTTTTTTTGTGCGTTTGTAAATCATGATAAAATACAACTGGCCTAACTTTTAACTCGTATGCAACAGTGTTTCACATGTAGACAAGGCTACAATGCGAAATGAACTTGTGATTTGTAAGTGTTTTCCCGGGTGAAAGCTAAGGAGAGCATAATTTAGGCATATCATTAAACTTCTTTCAAATATAACAGATAATACTTCATGCCCGACCACGCGCCACCGATAACCGCGGTAGTTCGCGCGCCACTTACTCATAAATAGCGATGCTCCGAATGCTATATCTCGGTTCTTTGAATGGTCACCATTGACCCACGATCATCGTACAATAAACTAGTCGTTCCTTGGGAACCTGCTTGTTTCATACGCAATACCCGAGCGTACGCCTGTCTTGAAATCTCGGAAAATTAAAAGCTGCTATACAAATTTCAATGAAAGCTAGCAGAGCGGGGTTAGACAACAAATCCGATGTAGGTTAAAATCGTCAGCAGGCTGTACCCATCTCTTATCTCCTTGAAATTGGAATCCGAAAAAGGCGGTCTGTCCAAAACATCACTTTCACGCTTGCCTTTTCTCCATTTCTCGTTGCGGCGCACTACTTCCCGTGCTGTACTTGTCATTTCCGCCTTGCGTGCCAGCAAATCTCTTGATTTTCATACAGCATTGTCTAGCACGGCTGTAAATGTAAGTTACTTTTTTTTTCTTTTTTTTTTCTGCACTGCATTATATACAATATTAGTTTTACTAATCTGTACGCAATCAATAAACCTGGATGGATGGATGGATGTTAATGGCTATACCCTTCGTAACGGCCGGGACCTTGCGCCACCTAGCCTAGGTCTAAAAAGACAAACATATGATTTCTCCCTAAGCCGTAAATGTAGAGAGTTTGGCCATTCGTTGGGAAGTATAGGAGACAAATGAGGAGGCGCCATTGGCCGAAAGCGGGCTGGGCGTGTTCCAGGGCGTCTTCAGAAATTCGAATGTGACCAAACAGAAGCCGGAAATATTACCCTGGCGGTGGTCGCGAGAAACAAACCTGACAACTGCATTGGAGTAACTGTCAATGGCTGAAAATATGGTACACGTGATGTTTCAATCACGTTAATCCAAAATGATGGTGGAAGAGTGCGACTAGCGGAACGTTCGACATGATCCGTACGCCAAGCGCCCAGGGCCGGGAATCTGCCGTCCGAACGGTCACACTCTGTCCGCGCAAAACAGAGTTTCGCGGCGCATTTGTTTCTTACATCTTTCTGCATGATCATGATCAAAACAACACGTGCACCCTATTTTCAACCACGAAGAGTTACTACACTTCACTCTTACGCGTTTATTAAAACCATATACGAACATAGACTTTTGATCAGAACTGTTTGCCGCTACCACCGCTAGGGGATTCTTTTCGGCTTCTGGTTGGTCAAGAGAGCATGCCAAGCCCTCTTTCCGACTCTGCCGCACGCCCTGACTCTGCCCGCGCCTCCCATTGATTAAACTCTCTCAATACACGGCTCTGATTCCTGCCCCCAAACTATTACCAGGCAGTGTGGGATATCACCATATGCAAAATGCACAGTGCCATCTAGTAGTGCACCGGGAACTACGTCCGCCATGTTGGTAGCGGCGAGAAAACTAAATCAGCGACCGGAATGGCGTAGAACACATCTACACAAGCCGCCACGCCTCCTGTGGCAGGTGTGATGCCAACGCAATGCTGCTGCGCTCCGCTTTGTAAGCAGCAAGTGACCACAGATCCTTGCGGAAACAAAGTTCATACTTTTTTGTTGTTGTTGCTGATTTACGCAGCTTTTGACAATAAAAAGCGTAGACAACCGCAAGAACCGTGCGGACGTTCTCATATGACGCATACTAACCTACAACTATTAAACTGAGTTTTACCGGATTAATTTCTGAAGTTCCATTCCTTTCTGGTACACGTAGTAGCGTTTGGCCTGCGTTTTTTTTTTTTTTTTTTTTTTTTTCATGATGCGAAAGCAGCTTTGTGTATGTAAACATGACCCCTAAAACCAATCAATAAAAAGTTGGTTAACGGAATCTAGTTAATAAGCCTACGTACCATGACGATTTTCCTTTCATCTAATGTCCGCCGAGCCCGATGAACACTAGGTGAAAACGGCACTCATCTTTCTTCCCCTTTTTCTAAAAAAAAAAGAAAGAATTGTTCGACGATTAAAATCGCACACCCAAACAGTACATTGTAAGAGCTATAGTACACTATCGATGATATATTCTCGGTTAATACGTTTTCCCAGGTGTTACGTTCACGAACGTCGGTCCCGTCGATAACCCATAGAAACATCAGTATACATTTTCTGTTTGTAGCGTTTGACTTCTCGGTTGCTAGATGAAGAATCTACCATACGACACCGCCGGCGCGACGCGTTCGTAGCTAAAAAAGCCAGAGTATTAGGCCGCCCTCCCCGCTCCTCTTTTTTGCCCCCGCACCGCGCTTCTTGCCGGCTTTTGTTCGGGCGGGCAAGACCCTGAACCAGACTGGGAAGTAAGTGAAGCTCGAGGCTTTCTTAACGGTACCTTGTTGACTTGGTTCCCCTAGTCGTGCTAGTTTCATTTTGCTTGGAGTCGGAACCCATTCAGAATTGCGCCATCGCGAGCGGCGCGCGCTCGTGGCGAGCACAACGATCTTCACCGCATCGCACCGGCGTGCTAGGAGCAGCGGCTGACACGGGGCAGAATCTAGTAGTTAGATCGATCTCGGCTCAGAAAGTTTACTCACTTGTAAAAATCGACATTCTTGGGTTATGATTATTGATCGACACCTAATTTTAAATGACATTTCCCTAGAAAAGCGTAACCCATATTTGAAGAAATTACTTTTTTTTTTTCAGAGTTGTGAAAGTTAACGTCGAATGAAGTGCCGTGTAGACGCCCGTTCAGACGCTTGCCACCTCTTGAGTAGCCGTAGAAAAACTCGGCTGTCCCGTAAAGTTCCTATTTTTTGTTCGCGCATCATTCTTTCTTCTCTGGCACGAATAACTTTTGTGGATGTCATAAGCGACCCTTTATCATATGTAGTAAGTAAATTTGACCTCGAAATGACCGCAAAGCCTTCGCTCTAGTCAAATGCAGTTCTAGGATCACCGCCCTTCTTTTATAAAGTGTTATCCGTTACTTTTTTTCCGAAACATACTTTTTTTTTATTGCAGTACAAGGAGAAGTGTATCAGTAAGGATCTACTTAGCTTTCTTCATACTAAGCATTTGTCCGTGTAAAACTTCATACTCCGACTTTCATGGAACCACGTCTCTAGTATTCATATCTGATGGTGTCGCACTTAGAGGTCCCGTGACAATGTGAACGTTCTAGGATTTCACTAAGAGGTAATTATTTGCATCCTTAGAATTTACCGTTTTTGTTTGTATTGCTATATACCATTTCCCCTCTGGAATGCCCTCGGGCCCAAAGGGTACCTGGAATTAATAAGTAAATCAACACTTTGCCACGAATCTTGTCTTGCTAGTTAGGCGCTTGGTGCGAGGTCCAAATAAGCAGCGAGAGCGGGCTGCAATCTCGAACTGAATCTATCCAGGAAGAGATCCATCGGATGGCGGTCATGGTCCCCAACGAGTCTCCGCTGGTGGGCATCGGACGGTTCCCAGGGAAGCTGACCCACTACAGCAGTCGCTCCAAGAAGGTCACCGACAAAGACGAAGTCAAGGAGATCTCCGAGAAGAAGAACGGAGAAGTCACCACGCAAACCACCAGAACGCATCACCATGAGGAGATGGATGACGATGAGGTAAGTTGCCCCAGCTGGCTACTTTTAGTGGGGGTTACTCTAAAATTATTTAACGCAAAAAAAAAAAAAGTTTTATTTTGGTGTTTTTTACTTGTCAGCAAGAAAAAAAAACACAGTTTCCCGTTTACAAGCTTTTTACCACAGAAATAAAGGCCACAGGCGCCGGCAATGTAATTTCTTGGTTTGATGAATATTAGGCTTGGGTGGACGTCGGCTGATGAGGAATTTGTTTTTCTATTTTCTTTGATCCAGGTAAGGCCAGCTCCTCAAACTTTCGCATTCTAGCGCACAACAGCTAGCGACACATTTATACAGAATTTCAGTTTTTAGTGATGCATATAGTTTATTTATGCGAAAAAAAATAGGTTTTATTTTTTTTTTTACGGACCCGGTAGATCTGTTCGTTCGTACTTCTCAATGTGAAATCACCCAATATTATATATATTTTTTTAATTGAGCAGAGCAGCCGTCTTTGGTGCTTACGGTTGTGGCTGTTGAAGATTTCTTTAGATGAGTGACCATTCAGAAAAAGACAAAGGTGGTTTTATAGTAGAGATATGGCCGTGGCAGTGGAGAAGGGCCGTTTCCAAGAGGTTCGATGCACCCCAGAAACTCTAGAATTGTCCTAGGCGTGACCGAATCAGCCCCAATTATTAAAGGAACACTGATAGGGTATTTATGCTCGTCGAGGTTTTTTGTTCTACGTGCCATCTGAGAGTCCAACTACCCAGAAAGGAATTTGCGGCTCGAAATTCGGTTTCTTTCCGCCCGAAAACTGCCGGTGGAGAACTGTCCGGCTTGAGTCGCACTCACTCTCTTCTCCGTGGTCACGGACCGTTTTCTAAGGTTAAGACACAACCACCATATATAATCAAAGTCGTAGGTCATCGAAGGCACGCACACAATATTAGAAATAGAAAAGAAATATGATACTAATTTTGTGGGGCTTCTAAAAATCTGCAAATGCGTTGTTTGGGGAAAAAACTATCACAGCCACGTGACTTCGGCCACCTCTCTCCTCCTCTATTTTTCTTCTTCCTCCCCAGTCCAGTTTCAGTTTCGAACAGTTGCGTGTTTTTTTTTTTTTTTTTCACTTTATTAAAAATATACGTGACGTAGTAGCAAAATATTGATTGAGTAGTCTTCTGACATCATAATAAATCGCCTGGCAAAAAAAAAAATAAAAAAAAAATTTTGGGCGTTGTCAGTGTCCCTTTAAAAACAAACATTCGGCAACTAAAAGCAATTATTGCAGAATAGAAAATAATGCGGCTTTACATCAGAGAGCGACCAAGGGATCTTTGGAGCAGTGCTCCGAAAATCTCTTGGGAAAGGGACCACAAAGGTTTCAAGAGCTCTTAGCGCTCCGGCGGTCATAATTGGAGACATCTGCTGAAGAAAAAAAAATTACTTGGCATGCCAATAACATATTTACAGAGTGTCTCCAATGTAAACATGTTTACGTTGGAGACACTGTAAATTCTCTCTGAGTCACTAATTTTACAGGCAATTACCACGCATTCAGTGCGAGCATTGAATCATGGCAGATTAAGGGAAAGCGGATGGAAAGTGCGGGAATCGCTCCTTAGGAAATTATCCGAAGTTTGTGTTAATCAGAATTCTGTGTGAATTTCTATGACTCTTGAAAGTGCTGTTTTGCGGGCCATCGTTTCAGGTGCCAGAAGACGAAGCTGAAGGCAAGGACCTGCCTGCCGTCGAGAGAGAAACCAAGCGCAACTTCGAGTACTTGCACGACGGAGCAGACTTCAAGGTGCCCGACCGAATGCGCAAGCAGAAGGATCTGCTCTACCTGCAAGCCACATCCCCCGAGAGGCACGACCCAGTCACACGCAAGGCCCTCAGCGTCGAGGAGGAGGAGGAGATCCGCAACAGTGTGACCAACCGCTGGCTGGAGGACCACTTCGGGTCTGACACCTCGGACGAGGACGCCCAGAGGCCCAAGCACGGTGGGAACGTCATCAACATCAAGATGACGGATGTCAAGAGGACACCCTCACCTCCTCTGAAGGAAGCCAGAGATTCGCCAAGCCCGATTTATGCCAAACCTTACATGAAAACGCCGTCTCCAGCGCCATCCCCAAAGCCGTTTGCAGATTCAACCTTGCAAAGCAACAAGTCGTACCAGAACGTGTCCTACTACAGGGAGCAGAAGAGCGACGAGTCACATCGAAACCGTGCGCCCCTTGGCAGCAACTGGAAGTCAAGTCCTTCTCTCTACCACAATATTGACCGCGCGTCCCCAAGAACTAGAGGAGTTGACTCGTACCGCGATGTCGAGAATAGCTACAGGCCCGTTGAGAAGTCATTCATCGTGGATAACAACATCTTCACCAAGGAAGACCGCAAGCTCAATGACAGCAGGAGGGTCGTCAGCGAATACAGCAGGAAGACCGACTCTTCATTCCAGGAATCTGCAAAGCCTGCCCAGAGGCCCGTACAGAGGTCTCAGTCGAGCAGAGTGGTAGAAAAGCACGTGCAGTCCGGCGCTCCCTTGTGGAGTGCCTACACACTCCCTCGCGATCCCGGGGCTCACAGAACCACCACCCGGATCGAACGCTCCACCACCAAGACCAGCCGCGGCGTCCAGGCAGACCTCGAGGACGAACCAATCGTGCCGATGGCCCGCCACACCGTCCACGCCGTGCGCGAGACGCAGAGCTTGCCCAGGCACCGGCACACCCACGGCAGTCACCACCACCACCGGCACCGCACCCACGAGGAACACACCCATTCGCGCCACAGGGACAAGAGCCCCGTCGAGTCCAATTTTTCTACCGCGTCCCGCCCCTCCAAGACCTTCTACTTCGGCGACAAGACGGACACTAGCTACAACAGCCCCCGGCACAGGGACAACTACTTCAACACCATCGAGAAGGACCGCTACGTCCAGCCGCCCAGGCGGTTCCGTTCGGACCGCGACCGCTACTACTCCGTGGAGGACCTGGCTACCCGGTCCTACTCGGCCACCCCAACGTCTAAGAAGCCCAGCTTCATCGACAGGCAGCGCTACTTCCCGGCCACACCCCCGGTGAGTCCGCCACCGCGGCTGATCAAGATGACCAACGGGCGGTCGACGTCGCCTTCGCCTCCGGAGTCCCCCCGCCCCAGCGGCCTGCTGCTGCCGCCGCCGTCGCCCTACGCCTCACTGCAACGCCGCAGCGCGTCGCCCGTCGTCGACCTGCCCTCCTTTACGCCGCTCCAGAGTCCCGTGGAGATCAAGCAGTCCCTGTCGAGCCGCTACACGACACGGCAGCGCCGTTCCGACACCCCGGTGGAGTACTACGGCTCAAGCAAGCCCGCCGGGGACAAGTCAGGCTACAAGAAGAGCAGCTCTGCTCAAGCTGGGGATTGGGGGAGCCGTTAAAGGCCAGAACGCTTTCCGTTCCTAAGCTGCACACACAGAGGGGTCGCTCGGACGGGGCATCTCAGGTCAGCAGAGAGGGAAGTAGGAATGCTTTCCTGGTCGAGGGATTGAAAATGAGGGATTGCATGGGGAACCCTTAGATCGGTAAGTTGCGAAACAATGAAGCTCTCAAGCATTCCAACTAAACGAAAAGATCGTTTTCGAGGGAAGTTATGCCAAGAGGTTATGCCGGAGTGTAACATTGTAAACGCTGATGCAGCTCGAGTACAGGAAACCACCTTTAGTAACATACATTTGCTCGCCGAGGTTCGGCATTGCGGTACTACCACTACAACAACCTAGGGTTCTGCAACTAGGCAGAGGAATTCAACTGCAATGCTACAAGCTGGTCATGTTAGCGCTTCATATCTCAAGATGTTTCGAGCTTGGTGATCTAGAACTTGTAAACTCTGGTTTTAAAGATGTATGCCTGTTAAGGAGCGAGTGAGGCCTCATGGTGTTGTGTCACGCGTCAAAACCTTGCGAGGCTCACCACCCCGCCAAGCAATGCCTAAGGCAAACCAGTGTAGAATAGGTCTAGAATGTCATATAAATTATCCTATAGTTGCCGACAGTTTAAGAAATGTAGGGCTTATAATGTTCATGCGTCTTGCTTTGTGAGGCGTTCTTATCGGCCGCAGTTCCGTTGGTACCAGAGCTGTAACTAGGGGTGTCGCGAACCGGTCGAGGTTAGAGTTCGACCAAATTCGACTTTTTCTAACTTCTGAAAAATCGACAAAGGTTCGACTCAGGTTTGACTGCTATGCGCATGCACAACAGGCTGGCCAGTTGGCTTTGGATTGAATGGTGATGGCTAAGGAATAAATTAAGGGCAGCACTGATTGGTTATTTCAGTTAATACAGTACAAAAAATTAAGTTATGAACTTCGTCAGTGATGAGAATTAGTTTCTTTTAATTGCAACTGTTCATAAAATTAAAATAACCCTTTGCATAAAAAAAAATTTCTCCAAACCTAGACATGCTTGTAGCAAGGTCTGGCCATACTGTCCACAAAGTTGAACCGGTCAAATCTGGCTAAAAGTTTAAAAGTTTGTCAAACCGGTTCAAAGCAGTCGAAAACCAAACATTCTACCTAAAAATCCGGTTCGACAAAAGCTTGCAACACCCCTAGCTGTAACGAGATGGATTTGCAATGCCCTGGACGGACGGATGCTAACGGCCATTTATAAAGGGCGGTAGCTTGCGCTACCTAGCCCAGCATTTTTTAGCTGTCGATGACTACTATAGAGCAACATATTTTGTGTCAAACGGTTCGCTCTTTAAAAATACACTGCCCAAGCTGTCGAGGAAACAAGAGAAGGACACCTTAAGGGTCCCTGAAATCAATTTCAAGGAGCAACATGCGTCCCTTAGAGTACATGTTGCTCATGGATCAAAGAACAAGCTCCCAAAATAAGCATACTACTTTGTTTTTTTTTCCCCAATTAAGCCAGCCTGCTGTCGTCATATGAATATATGGCATGGTGACAAGTGCACGCACCACCGCGGGTCTAGATATGTTGTGTGCAAACGAAAGAACACAAAAAGCGAAACAAAAAACAAACGTACAGCAAAGACGATAATCCCTCAACCGGTTCTCCCTTTCCTCAAGAGTAATCGAGCAGTGCGATGTCAGCCAAGTGGCTTGGAAAGGCCCACGACTCGCCCTCGTCTTCGGCAGATCAAACATTCGCCTGTAATATCATACAATTTAACTTTTGCATTTGCTAGTAAACTGGATCTGTCTTTACATCCTATAGATGCATTTGCAAGTACGGCCTCTGGGCGCCGCCACCCTGCTGCTAGTGTGGGTAGATCGTCCGATAGTCAAGCATCTCTGAAGTGTACCCGAGGTTTCCAGACTGGTGCCCAAGGCATTTTCCATTCACGGTGGCCAGACTAGCTCTCGAAGTGCGGCTGCTTGCAAACGTCTATTCAATACAAAGTTTGGGAATTTCATTTCTTGTTGCATGTTAGCACTATATTCATAGAATAGTTTCTGTAGATATCTGGAAGCAGCCCAAACATGACTGCCGGGTCCCTTTAACTAATTGAACTTTCGCTCAAATTTTAACTTGTTTCAGACCAACTGTTCAATCAGTTCCTTTTTACTAGCCAATAGAATTTTACACCCTTTACAACCCAAAAATATTATGTGGTTGGGACGTTTGTGGTGGATCTTTGGGTTGAGCGTGCATTTGTCAGTGCTTGGGGGCCTGTCCAATTTTAGGACGTTTAAGACTAGAGAGAGGACCAACTTGCTGTGCACAAAACAGGCCCTTGGCACGCCAAAGTCATACTGTTTTGCTCAGCGATAAAATGCAGAGAGGCTATGACCATAAGCTGCCGGCCTCTAAATGCACCTGCTGCCTGCCCTTTAAAGCTAGCCCTGCCAAGAAATGTGCATCTTTTGCACATTCTCTTAGTACATCCCTCGTTTTAGACAGAAGGTCCCCACATTTAAGTCCAGTCAACATGTGGCCTAGACCTGTCAGCGAGTATAGAGGTGAATAATGTATAAATGAACAACTCGCCGCAAACTGCATTCGGGTTTCCACGACATCACACGAGGGAAATCTAACAAACTAAATGAGGCGTCTGTTACGTCCTAACTTCAATCGAGAATGGTGTATCCGGATTTAGATGGCTAGGAAGCGTCCGACCTTACGTGATACTGCATGAGTAGACACGATCAGTATCTCAAGACTCGTGGCATCAGCCACACAGTGCCAAGCACTGGACAGTGTCGCACACGCGAATGCGTAACAAAAGCAGGATGAGACATTTCTAAGGCATTGAAAGCAGTGAATTCAGAAAGATACCTAGCTGCCCCAAGCTACGGTAGATACCCGCCCCCTTGTGCAACGTGAAACTAATGATGTAATGCTGTCATGCGACAAGAGGCAGAGGAGGTGGTCAGACTCACCTCTACAATGCCATCGTCTGCGGAACTCGATGCTAACCCAGGTGGCTTTTCTGGATTGCCCTTTCTAGGGACGCGGCTTGAGCTTGGAAGTTCCGACCGGGTTACAGAGAGAAATGTGAATGCCGTGGCTGGAAGCCTTTCCGCGAGCCGTGTCGTTGCAGGCTCGCGTTGAGACAGAACAAAGAACGGACCGATGTCTGATGCATGCACTTAGGGTAGCGACTGGTATGTACTAAGTTAGGACTTCTTAACCGGAAAGTTGGCAGGTCAGAAGCCTTCGCTGGAGCGATCCCGACTTGGAGCAGATTGCACCCAGTGAGGGATTCCACTTGTCACCTCTCCCCTCATTGAATGAAAGGTGCATTAAAAGTATGCCCCTGACAAGTCAAGAGTGTTTTGTAGAATAATTTCTCCTCAAGACCAAGTGCATTTTGAAAGCATGTTACGCAAATGTTAGTGAAACAAAACCAGTGCCATTGAGTTGAAAGGATACTTAAGGTTGCAAATAAATATGCCTGTACTAATAAAAGAACCTTTGTCAAGAATGTCTAGGTCAACTAGAAGCTCGCTTTATTAACTGTGTTCCTGTACCAAACTGAAGATTGATATACAAAGGTGCTGCAAAGTTCCTTTCATTTGGTGTATATACTAATGCATGTATTGGGTCAACAAAGTTGGCTATAAAAGCTGACCCATTTCTATTTTTTGTCACAATAAAAACAAATGCATTATATAGTGCGGCAAATTAAAATTACACGGCAGTGTCTTGCGTCCGACTTATTTATAAGAGTGTGTTTGTGCACTACAGTCAGACCCGTTTATAACAAACAGCATGAAACGCTACGATCAGTTTGATATAGCAGGTAGTTCGATATAACAAAAACAATTTACAACGAACTTCCATGATGCATTCGTTGTAAGGCGAGAGCCTTCTCTTTCTTTCTCATCTTTTCACTTCTGCCTTGTAACAACGTGCTGGAAAGCTTTTTTTTTTCATACATGCAGTTTTTTTTTTAGCTGATCTCCTGAATCGCTTTTCTTCGCTCACTTTTGCTCGCAACTAGAGCTTTTGGAATTTTTTTTTCTTTCTTACTTTTTTGGGGGGGAAGGGAGAGGCTTGAAGATGATTGTTTGCGCGTTTTTGGAAGCCTTCGCTGGTGAAACAAGTTCGATATAACCAATATGTTGTTCGTTATAAAAAGTATGTTTTACATGCATTTTTATTTAAATTTTCTGCGAGTTCGATATTGACAATAATTCGCTGTATGTGGGTTCGTTCTAAACGGGTTTCACTGTACGCATGGTGTATCTTGCTGTGGTTGGTAACAATGTTTAAGTAAACATGAGTCATCTAATGTAACAAGCAGGTCTGTCCTCAACTCAGCTTTAATCAGTTTTATTTCCTCACTTCAACACTGCAATGGTTTGTGTACAACAGACTAAAGGGTTTCTTCTTACACCACTGACCATGAATGACTGGGGGAATTATGCCCACAGAAGCCTTATGCACCATTGTCTTTTTGCTAACCTTGGTATGCACTGTACCTTAGCCATAAAACACACGTCTCTCACTTGTATTGATTACTTACTATGACTGAAAAGGGATTCAAACACTGCAATAGCAAACAAAATTTATATCACAAAAGATGGCAGTGCTTTTTCCGAGAAGTCAACAGCAAGCCAAATAATGTTCTAATGCAGACAACCAACGGCTGTAGGAACTTTGTAGCTCTCGTCGTAACATTGTTTTCATCAAATTTTAGACTGCGAGTATGCTAAACTTCTAGCTTCTTGTTACACATCGTTAAAGACAGCAATTCTGGGCTTAGTCACATTTTCCTGCAAGCACTCAATCCCTGCTTCAAAAGCTTGCGGACCTTTAGTACGAAGTTAAACTGGAAAAGATTTTCTAATACAAAAAGAACGCCATGTAAAGTCCAGCTCCGAAAACTGGGTCTGTTCCAAAAGTGCTGCGTCTATACACAACCATAGTTTACATCGGGGCGACTGCTCAGACAAATCGTCTTGTGGGGGTCTATAATTGAAAAGAAGGAGCTGAGGTTCTACAAGGGGGAAAACCACAGGAGGTGCTCCAACCAGTAGGACCTTACTGGCGAGCGTTAATGATCTCGACAAACTCTGGCTTCAGTGAGGCTCCTCCCACCAGGAATCCGTCTACGTCGGGCTTCTTGGCTAGCTCCTGGCAGTTGGCCGCAGTCACCGATCCTGAGAAGGACAATTGGTGGCGGTCAGGTATGGCCCACTTAGGAAGGCATACGTACACAACCAACATGACAGACAAGGATCCACTTTACAATGAACTTTGTTCGGGTCTCCAATCTTTAAGACCACATACCGTAAAATACCGGGCAAGCGCCCACTCAAAATTTTGAGATAATCATGAAAAAAATGGGGGATGGGCGCTTGTCCGGTCATCAATTCTACACATAAATGCACTGTGCATATTTTCGCAGATCTTACAAATTTGGGCATGGGCGCTTAATGTGGTATGGGTGGATGCACGGTATTCTACAGTATACAGTTCTTTTTTTATGCTTTGCAAATTTGTTTAAAAAAGCCGTGAAAGTTACACTTATGTGGTTTGTGCAGGTGAGTTATACGACCAGAGGGACATTATGTGGGTGGTTAATCTTGGTGATAAGTCGACTGATTAACTAAAATTTGTTCAATTAACTTTTAATTAGTGAAAGTAGACATGGTTTTAATTAGAAATTTACTGAGCATCATCGAAAACCACTAAATCGACTCTTTCTAGAACGACTTGAAGCTCGTGGGAAAAAAGTCAAAAGTCAAATTTGGGGGTTTTACGTGCCAAACCAACGACGGGCATCTGGCACGCCCCAGCGGAGGACTGAGGATTAATTTGGACCACCTGGGGATCTTTTGACGTGCAACCGAAAGCTCGGTTACACGGCACCTTCTCCGCAATAAGCCTCCGTCAGATTGCGGGCACCTCGGAAGCTCGTGGGAAACTCGGGGGCGCGCCAAAGTGACCACTCGTGAAGCAGGTGCAAAGCTAGCAGTGGCGGAGCGCGGATGATAATCGATTTAGTGGTTTTCGATGACACTCAGTAAGTTTCTAATTGGAACCATGTCTACTTTCATTAATTAAAGGTTAATTAAATGAATTTTAATTAATCAGTCGACTTATCACCAAGATTAATCAACCATATAATGTCCCCTGGCCGTATAACTCACCTGCAGAAACTGCCTAAGTGTAACTTTCAGGGCTTTTTTTAAACAAATCTATAAAGCTTAAAAAAAAACAAAAAAACACCCTGAATACTGTAAATGATTATTTTTGCGGGCTCAACAATTTCGGGGCACACAATTTTGCAATTTGGTTTGACATGCTACATTTTTGTTGTCATAAGATGACATATTCGCATCATAAACTTTTTGCAATATGTTCTGGGTCACAAAATTTGCGAAAATTGGGACCACATAAAATTTGTTTATAAAAAGAACTACTCATCCTACGTTGCTCAGATTTCCTTCTACCCACCACCTTTCTGGAGATGACATGCCGTCGAGTGCCACGGAGTAACAGTCGTTCAATGAAGACATTTTTAATGACAACCCAGCGAACATGAGGCAAGGACTGTCAATGTGCAGAGAAGGAAAGCACACAGGTTCGCAAAATCTGGTTTCGTCGATACGAGGCGAAATAAAAGGCCCTTTTGTGTCCACCCCTGGCAGACTAAGGACGAGGCAGAAAAGGCAATCGCACTTGTGTGGGAAACATTCACCAATGCCAGCAGCGAACTAAGATACCGTGCAGTCAAGCCAACTTATTAAGAACACGGAAGTAGCGAGACATTGGACAGAACAAATTAGAACTGCTCATTTCATGCCCCTGGTTATACTCTTTCAACACGATCCGAGCCCTTTCTGAAGACAAAAATTCCACACTGGGCCTCAGATATAACAAGAATAAATTAGAAAAAAGCTGGGAAAATCATTGCCAAAAAGGGTCCAAAGTTCTTGTGTACAGTGTGCAGCGCACATGCGTGAAGCTTCACTTTGCACCGGTGTGCTAGCGGCAGCACCCGACTCTGGGGAACGACTGGACTAGCTCGACGGGCTCGGACATTTTGCGCGCTCTTATAGTAGCGGTATTCGCAGAAAGGAGGAATCCAACGGATTCCTTCTTCGTGCAACGAAAACTTTAGGCTCTTGCGACATGGCGTCGCGACGTCTGCTCCGTGGCAGAGGGAGGAAAGAATGCTGGGCGACAAAAAGAAGTCCGGTTTGGCGGCGGATCGTTACGTGTTTGGCGTTACGTGTAGAGACCACGAAATTCATGTGCAGCAGTGTCAAGAGTGTTAACAGCGGACCTGAACTGCAACTGCCGAACCAAATGTTCCGTGGAGTTAGTGGTAAGTTAGTGTAGTGGAGTTAGTGGTACTAACTCCAATAACTCGCGGTTACGCTTTTTGTGGCTTCACTTAAATCTGAAAACCTTGCTTAAAAACATTTCACGTTAAAAATAAAAAAAATCAACCAATACAGTAGTTCTTCATTGAAAGTCCACTCGAAGTAAATTGATCCGAGAGTTGCTTCCTGTCACATCTATGGCATTATGCCCCAAAAGCATTGTATTCTTTTTGTTGTTGTTTTTTTTTCAAATCACAGATTTCTTTATCACGGTCCCACGAACAACATATGAACAAGGTTCTACTACAGTGTAATCTCGTTAATTCAAACTCTTAATTGAAACTCGCAGATAATTCAAACTAACATGCAGGTCCCATTTTATGTGTTTCAAGGAAGGAAACTCCCGGTAATTCAGACTTTGCATTATTCAAACAAAGTTCTGGTCCCCCCCGGGTTCAAATTAACAAGGTTCCACTGTATATACACTTTTCTGTACATAAGGAAGCATGTGTTCACCAAGGGAGGTACTGCGCACGACAAACACCAGCTCTGCGGGAGATAAGGTGCCAGAAGCGCGCATTGGTCCAAAGCTTTGGTAAAGGGAAACTGAAGCGGTTCCGTATTTGAAGAAAAACACCTAAATCGTCTTCATCTGGCCTCGAAGATCACAAATTATTTTTTAGCTTAGCGCACGGAGGCTGCAGAAATTAATTTTCAAAGTACCACTGAAAATTCCTTCCCGGGGCGTGACGTCACATTAGGAGTTTTCGGAATCTCCGCTCTCAGGCATCTTCAGCGCCTGTCAAGGCTATCCACGCGCACTCCCCCTATTTTTAGAAAGGTCAGAAGAACACGTCATGACTGGTGTCAGTGCGGAAAAGTATATACCTGGCAAGCTTGGCATTGCAGGCACTGCCCACACGAGCGACACGCACTTGGGGGCCCAAAAATCTTAGTATGACATCACAACTGGTGGAGGTTTTTCGCGTTTAGTTAAATCTTCGGGGAAAACTAATGTCATATTCAGATTCACGAAATAAAAATACGCCAGAATTCACCTCCAACTCGTTTTTTTGAAGATGGGTTTCAGCTTTTTTTTAAGAGCATGTGGACCCCAATCTGTTTCCTCACTTTCAGAACACAGATGGCTTTCAAGATGGGGCCCGGTCGTCGACTCGTAGCATAGTCGATAAGTCGCTAACTCAACCACGATTGTGCAAGCTGGTCTGCGGTCTCTTAAAAAAATGCGTTTTTTATGAAAAAAAAAAAGCGGACCCCTCAAATGCACGGGAGACCTTTCTTCCTCTCTATTATGCATGTTTGCTGTTTGGTGTGGATTCAAGTGCAACGTGATCTTGGTGCACGCAGGGTGGGGATAAAGCATGTCATAGACCACGCACGTATCATGCGGGGGCAGAGATCGCAGCCACCACACCAGGCAGTTATGCGGGTGGCACTGGTGGCTGTTCAAAGGTAGGGTACCTGCATATCTGTCCGAGAGAGCTGGAAGACATCTCTTTTTGTATTGAGGGCGACTCGGCAAAAAGAAAGATTATTGAGCCGTAAAATGTTACCAGTCACAAAGAGTTGCGTGCGCATGAGGACACTACTCGAAGGCTTCGACACTTTCTGGCCCATCGCACGCAATCCGTGGGCAGGCAATCGTGAATTTTACCAGTTTGGGCATGAGCTTTGGAGTTGCAGAATAGCTGCTGCACGATTTTCCAGAGAAGAAAAAATAAAAGGGTTGTTCCTCCTTTTACGACGTTAGTCTTTTATGAACTCCAGTGATGTACAGTGTTGCATTTTCTGATTCACACTTAGCAGCAAGCGATTGCGAGACAGTTAGGTATTTTATTTTGGTCACTAGCTACTATGCGCTGAATGAGGACATATAGCTCCTTGTGTTCATGATCTTGCTCCTTGAACTGTGTCAAAAGGGTGCAGAAACAAGTTATTTTGGAATGGTCAAAGGTGTCTTCCAAAACCAAGTTATGGATTTTTTGCAGAAGTTCTGGCGTGGTAGCTGTTTTTGGACGTCCTAAACATGGTTCATCACTTGTACCTGTACAACCATGCTTGAATTTGGAAACCCAGAAAATCACGGTGGAAAACGAAGGTGATGAGTCCCCAAAAACATCATTCAACCTGGATTTGATTCCCCCCCCCCCCCCCCCCAATCACAGTTTTTCACTCCAAATAAACAAATTTGGTGACCGGTTGAATTTCTCTTTTATTAATCATTGAAAATGTTGATGGTTGCTCGACTATAATGCTTCTCAAAGCCAGACTTTTTTTGAGATACAGTGTAGACCGCATATAACGTATGTCGCGGGAGTCACGAAAATCCGCACTATAAGCGGTACCGCGTTATAACCGAAACATCAATTTTTCAGGCCAAAATACATGCCATGTGACAACTTACCTTTGTAAAAGAATTTATTTTATGTTAGATGAAAAATAAAGCTTAGTTTGAGGAAAGTCTTTATTTCACCAGACTAGTACACTTCTCTCTCAAGTGTGTCACACATTTTGAAAGAAATGAGCGGCTTTTGCCTGGCGCAGCCTCTTAGCGGCGCCGCGGGTTGCGGACGGATGTTGCGAGCGTTCAGGATTGCTAACCCTAATCACTTTTCTCCGGAGATGAAAACGCGTGAAAATTCGGATCCTTCATACGGTACGCGCCAGTAATACCTTGAACTTGAGCACACGCATGAAATGCGCCAAATAAGAAATCCGGGCGATGTTCGAGAACACAAATGCATAGAAATCACCACTGTAGTCGAAGTAAACAAACACGACGACACGGGCGTTTCTGCCGTCTTGAG